ACACACACACACACACACACACACACACACACACACACACACACACACACACACACATACATAGATAGATAGATAGATAGATAGATAGATAGATAGATAGATAGATAGATAGGAAGGCAGAAATAGATTATAAATAGGTAGCATTGGTTACGGAAACCAAAAGTTCAGAGATTAACTTTGTACTAAAGTACAACAGTAAATAATCTTTTGTGCCAAATTGAAGCACAATCTAAAACCAGCAATACAGTTTTGAAAAATATTACCAGCAATATATTTGACTCTCGACAAAAGACCCTGTTTACAAAAAAATACATCAATGAAACTTGATCTACAATCTGCTTTCTTACAAACAATAAATTTTCCATTCATACGAACATATCCTAAAAATCTTGGCATTAAATAACCCATTGAGATGTTGATATCCTGTAAAAGCAATAAACCAAACTAAACAGACTTGAATAGTCATACTAGTGAGGATATTATAAAATGACTATTTAAGTTTTACAAGCTTGAACAAAATAATCGTGCCTCGGGGAAAATTATTTGAAATGTAACAAGCGCGCCAAACCAAATAAGTAGCATGAAGCTAGGAAAGAAGAAATTGAACAAAATAATCGTGCCGCGGGGGAAATTATTTGAAATGTAACAAGCGTGACAAACCAAATGAGTAGCATGAAGCTAAGAAAGATGAAATTGAACAAAATAATCTTGTCATGGGGAAATTATTTGAAATGTAAATAAGCGTGACAAACCAAATGAGAAAGCTAAGAAAGAAGAAATTGAACAAAATAATCTTGCTGCGGGGGAAATTATTTTGAAATGTAACAAGCGTGACAAACCAAAATGAGTAGCATGAAGCTAAGAAAGATTGAAATTGAAAAAATAATCTTGCTTATGGGGGGAAATTATTTGAAATGTAACAAGCGTGACAAACCAAATGAGTAGCATGAAGCTAAGAAAGAAGAAATTGAACAAAATAATCTTGCCGCGGGGGAAATTATTTGAAATGTAACAAGCGTGACAAACCAAATGAGTAGCATGAAGCTAAGAAAGAAGAAATTGAACAAAATAATCTTGCCGCGGGGGAAATTATTTGAAATGTAACAAGCGTGACAAACCAAATGAGTAGCATGAAGCTAAGAAAGAAGAAATTGAACGAAGTAATCGTGCCGCGGGGAAAATTATTTGAGATGTAACAAGCGTGACAAACCAAATGAGTAGCATAAAGCTAGAAAAGAAGAAATTGAACAAAATAATTTAATCTTAGCGACTCCTGAAGTTGGTAGAAAGAGTACAGAATCTGGCAGCTATTAGCACAAGTTGTATGTAAAATTTAATTTTCAATCGATGTAATTCGTATTCAATGTATTATCAATTCCTCAGACAAAGTAGTATAACATATTGAAAATTTAATACTCGACATCGACTTGACGGTAAATTGAAAATGACTGATTTCTCATCACCAGTATGACTACTCGTTTGCGAACATACCAAGCCATTTGTGTCATCCACCGAGTCAAATTTTATGCTGCATCGATGCTGAGTGAACTTCAGTTACAGTTCAAGCATACGACTACCAGGGTCCCATACTGTTTTGAATTCAAAGATTTCATTCTCCTATATTGGGTACAGATCACGGCAAGGGAGTCTAATTTGTCCTGCTATTTAACCTATAGCTGATAGATTTGTACGTTTCTTCAAGGTGTTTGTACGGAATTGAATGTAATGATCCCAAGCTGAATTCGAAATCGGCTAATAATTTCTCATCCACATGGCCAAACAAAGGATTTCTTCTTTAGTAGACTATGGATTATTGAGATTTTTGTGTCCCAACATATATTTCATTCGTTAGCAGCTACACGCACACGCGCGCGCAGGGTTAGAGCGTATGTAAATATAAAAAGTGGACATTGAAGTCAACACCCAGAGACGACAGTCTTTTTCATGCTTGAATGTAATGATCCCCATCGGAAATCGAACTTTACTAGCAATTTCTCATCTGCATAGGAGAATGAAAATTTTATGATTGCGTTCAGGCATTAAACAGACTGTCGCTTCTGGTAGTTGACTTCAATTTTCATATATATATATATATATATATATATATATATATATATATGTCTGTGTGCGTGCGTGTGTGTGTGTGTGCGTGCGTGTGTGTGTACGAATCTCTCAATCAATGCATTCGATTAATGCTTTTCTATTAGTGCGCTAAAATCTTTATATACCAAAATTCGATCAGTGCATAGTTTTACTGCATTTTTTATTTTACCATTCAGAGCAGAGTTTCTGTAGCTGTGGCTCCAGTTTGACCAAAAACATTTCATGATTTAAATTTCACAGGACTTGCCTTTATAACTAATATAAGCATTAAGTGGTACAAAATAGATTTTTTCAAAATTAAAACGTTGCCCGTGCTTGATTCAAAAATAGTACGTTTAATACAGCAATCGCTATCACTTGACTTAAAATATTTTTGCCCTTCCTTGCCTTTTTTAAAGAGTGCCCTTTTGCCGTGCTGATGTTGCTACATGCCTTACTTGCCTATCTCACACTTCGAATTTTTTCGAAGCTCTATACTAAACATTAAATCTGTTACGAAAAAAGAACTAAACAAAATGAACACAAAACGATCAGCTTTAAAAAAGGACTCATAACTGGAAAAACCGAATGAAAAAAGAATGTTAACAACAAATACTTTTTCACAACAAACCCAGTTTTGCGGAATCAGAATCAACGTTGAGTTTAAGCAAGCGAATGAGCCAATTGGAGTAAAGTGACATGCAGATTTAAATTTTTCCCACATGTGACGAATGCAGCTATCGATTTTTTTTACATGCTAGTTAACATTCAGCTGTTGGCTCTCACGCTGGCCAATAGAATCTTCCTGCCTAATTATGGCAGCCAGCTATAGGTTCTCACTCTGGCCAGTAGAAAATGACCGCAAACTACATGAAAACAGCCGTAGAAGCATGAAAAAAAACGATTATTTCCACTACCGATGGAGTTGGGAAATGCAAAGTCGGTCTTGGCCTTCCGCTAACTTGAGCATGTGCATGTAAATTTTGGTGCAATCTGTCGAAAATTGCGGCTGTGCATTCGTTACACACACACACATCCTGCCTTTTTATATATATATATATATATATATATATATATATATATATATATAAGATTTAATTTTAATCCAAGATTTTTATTACTTCAAGGTTATTATTTGAAAAAGACACCACATTTTTATTTATTAAACAGTGTTGTAATACATCTATCAGTTTTTTCTTCGTTTTGTTTGCATTTGTTTTGGGGTTTTTTTCACAATGGTGTTCACCCTGTACAAGGCCCTGGGGCCACTCGAAGTAGTGGGTTACAGAGTAAGAAGTACAGTTGATTCGGATATCTGGGGAAGATAACGGTTAACCCTAGACTTAAACAAGTTAAGATTGAAGTGATCGGGGAAGTAGCCTCTTCAGATTCGATTCCACAAGGCAGCGGTTAGTGGGAAGAAGCTGCTCGAGTAGAACTGACATTTCAAGCGGTGAATATGAATTGAATGGCAGTGGTTCGCTACAATGTGCGTAGTTTGGCCGGTCTTAGCCGTGAAGGTTAGGATTGGAGAAATTAAAGAGTGTAATTCATCTGAACACTCACCGTTCAAACAGTGATAGAGGCTTGCTACCTCTCATCTATGAGAAAACGGTTGCAGAGTGGGTGAATAATCACCCACAAGGACGGGGAGAAGCTTTTGGACTCTATCGAGTGAAAGAAAAAAGTTAACGATCTATGGAAACGTATATAAATCGTTTGCAGCAAAATCTATCTTTTTAAAACTTTAAATAAATGAAAACGGTCGTTATAGCAACAGAAATTATAAAATTGTATCATGGACCGGAGACTGAATTTGTGGTGTTGTTCTCATTTTTTCTCTTCGTAGCAATATGCTTTAGAGTTTTCTTATGGGACCTTACCCATAATAACATAATGGACTATTCCATACGTAATAAATACTGCGCCTCAAGAGGAAGCAGGGAGTTCTACCCCTACCAAATTTGACAGTTGGTATGGTGTTCTTGTGTGCGTATGCTTCGCCGTCTTTCCTCCATACATGATTCAAGGAATTGCGACCAAACAACTCATTTTTACTCTCATCTGTCCAAAGAAATCTTACCCAATAAGAATTTTCCTTATCTTTATGCACTGTCGCAAACTTCAACATGGCATCTCTATGCCGTTTCAGAAGGAGTGATGTCTTTCTTGGGGAGCGCGGCTTTATACCGTCTTTGTGGAGTTCATTACTAATCGTCTGCTAAGTTACGTTAACTCCTGACAAACTCAGATCATTCTGAAGGTTTTGTCTGATGGTCATTGGGTTATTTTGGACCTGTCGCATCAACTTTCTTCGTAATCTGGCAGAGATCTTCCTGGGAGCATCGGGTCTGCCTTTGTTATCAACAGTATGAAATAGAGGTATGTTCGTATGCCCGAAAATACATATATAACATTGTTATTCAGGGTTTTCATTCGCTATAAGTGAGAATAACAAGCAAATTCAATCGCAATATTCTGACTCCCTGAAACCAGTTCTTTTATTGCCACTTCTTCTCACTAAATTCTTCTTATTCTCTTACACTGCCTTTCCGTCTAAGCGGCATTATCGTCTTATTTGAGAGAAAATAATAAACAAAAACATATGTGTGTGTGTGTGTGAAATTCTGAATTGAAAACATACCTGAAGAGGGATGGGCTCCGCCAGGCTATCCTAACCGAGACATATCACTGCTGCTATTGCTAGTAAGGCTGGCAGGTATCTATTGACTTTATGTGGTAACCAGTCTAGGAGAAGGAAAATTCTGAATTGAAAACATACCTGAAGAGGGACGGACTCCGTCAGGCAATTTTACTGTTGCTATTGCTGCCTTACATGTGGCGTCCAAACGAACTTAATGGCTTACGGGACGCGTGACGTGACGATTTTCTACGCCAATATTTCTCAGCTGTTTGATATGGACCAAGCTTTTGTCTTCTCTCTCTCTTTCTCTCTCTCTCTCTCTCTCGCTTTTTCAATTTCTGTCCCTATCTCCTCCCTTTCCATTCTTGATTTTTTTTCTCCTCCCCTTTTCAAACCATATTTTGATCCTTTCTCTTCGTCACTCGCTGGCAATCCGATACACTCACGTACATACACACACGCGCGTGTCCCCAGTCTCTCAGCTTTTGTTTCTACACTTAGCCCCGCCCACTTCCAATTCACTTCATTATCCACATGATGATCTTGCTGTCACAATTCATTCCTCCATAGATCTGGGCCCCCAACTTGTGACAGTTCGAAAACGGCCGGCGCCGAATTGTCTGCCCACGTGTTATCATTACCACCTCCTCAACCAACTTCGACCGGACAATAATTCTGTCATCTCCGGTGCACAGACAAATCACCTCAATCCACTTATCCTAATTATTAGTGTATTAGAGGCAGAATTAGATTCCTTAGATCACACGCTGGTCGAGACGCAGCACGGGGCGGATATAGATAGGTATTGACCAGTAGTGGGACCTCTCGACTCTAATGATTTTTGAACCCCGAATTCTATGGATTTATGGATCAGATCATTATCTGTGTATGAGTCGACTCAAAAAGAATTGTTATTTTCAACACTATTTTCAATACCCCTAATTTTCATCAATTTTCATTTTTCGCGAATCAATACGAATTCCCACCCCTTTACTCTTATTAGTTTCCACTGAAAAATATATTTCTTCGAGGTATGTAAAAAGTTGCTTTAATCAGCCGATATCTAATTTACTTATGGTGAGAATTAATATACTTTGATCTTTCTCTCTCTCCCACTCTCTCTCTCTCTCTCTTTATATATATATATGTCCAAATGACCCTAGTATACTATGCAGTCAACAAAATCAAAAACGAACAACACACATACACAAAATTAAAGATATAAAATGGCGACAATTTTTCAATCGCATGCTCTCTCTCTATCTATCTATCTATATATATATATATATATATATATATATATTATAATTATTTTTTAAAAAGATATCATTCCTTCGCTGAAAAAAATATGATTCCTTCGCTGAAAAAATTCCTTCGCCATTAAAAAAAAATAATTATAATCTAAGCTCTACCTCTGTATGGAGCACTGTTTTTTAAAAATAAAAACAAAAAAATAATAAAGAACCTGCATTATTTACCTAACGTGTCCTTTCCTATTTTTCTACATACCTGCACACACACACACACACACACACACACACACACACACATATATATATATATATATATATGAAAAAGTATACTAAAAACAAAAAAAAAATCCTAATATGCGATTATGCTGTTTTAATGTTTTAAATCGCATATTAGGATTTTGTTTGTTTTTTTCAGTATATTTGCTTCATACTGTCGGATCTATATCTATATATTTGCTTACGTATATATATATATATATATATATATATATATATATATATATATAATAAGGTAATTTACAAGACATATTTAATCTAAATTTTAATAGCTAAAAAACAACCTGTTTCGTCCCAGTCTTATTAAGTTTAATCCTGGGAATTAAAATACTAAACGTGTAAACTAAATTGAGGATGACAAATGGGGAGAAAACAAATTCCAGGAAAACTAGAGCCCAATAACATTCAGACCCAGCAAACAACCCCTCTGTTTACAGAGGGAAGGCTTGTGTGATCAGATATATAAGGACTCCAGAACCTTGAGATGATATGAAGAGTGGCACCTTGATAAAATAGAAAAACGGTCCACACTAAGTTCAGAAACACAATTCCTGCTATTTATAATATGCTGTGCAATATAAGACCCGGATGTATTAACTAATTGACTTTTACTGGCGGTCGGATTCAAAATTCTGGAAGGCAAATGTTGCTTTATTCTCAAATCCAAGCGCTGAGACGCCCTGCCTATGTAGTCGATTCCACAACTACATTCATATTTGTAAATAACAGAATTAACATGATGAAGGGGTAGGGCATCCTTACAAATGGAAGAAAGAATTGGTCGATTACCGAATATTACTCGAGCGTTGGCCGAAAAATAACAATTGTTGATATCACGCGATATTCGCCTGGCTAAAGGCTCACCCTCTAAACCAATAAAGGGAAGACGTAAATAAACCAGACATATTTTAACAAGATGCGGCTTAACCCTATGGAAATCATTGATGACATCACGGATAACAGAATCCAACACATCCAAAGGATATCCGTTTATAGGAAGTGTCACTGCAGAGAAAGCCTTCGGAACAAATCATAAGCGCTCTATGGGTTAGGGTCTTTATCAAGTTTATCTTGCGTTGTCGCGGACAAAAAGAGCCCCAACGTGTATAAAGCCCCGAAAATGTATCATTCCTAAATACAGAAGTCAAAAACTTGTCACCAGTCCGACGTACAAGAACATCCAAAAAGGAAAGATAACAATTGGACTCCTTTTCTACGGTAAACTTAGGAGAGAGATGGACAGAATTTAATAATGTGTGAAGAAAATCGGCTTCAGCCTCATTATTAAAGAGGCAAAATGTATCATCCATATAACGATGATACATAAGAGGACGACCAATACGGGAAAATAAAGAAGTCTCGTGAAAGCTAACAAAAATATTAGCTAGAGCAGGACCCAAAGGCGAACCCATCGCTACACCGTCAATCTGCTGATAAATAATATTATCAAAACTAAATTCAACAGATGCGGTGGCGAACTTCATGAAACCAACAAATACAATCTCAAGAAAATATCCGGCGGAGACAACGAGGTACGATAAAGAATATCACAATATATCTCAATTGTCTCAAACAAGGGAACACAGGTGAACAAGGAGCATATGTCAAAAGAACACATGAACCCACCACTGGAAGAGGAACTACGTATAGTTTCAACAAAGGAGAAGGAATCTTTAATACAGTAAGTACTAAAGTGCGAGGAAAGTTGTTGTAGCACTGTCGAGAGCCAACTAGCGACTATGATGGAACGACCCAATCATGGATAAGATGGGTCGTAATGGGATACCATCCTTATGGATTTTGGGTAGCCCATAAAAACGGGGACGAATGGACCCAGTGGGTCGAATCAACTCAGAAAATCCAGGCGAGAGTAAACCACTCTTGACCCACTTTAACAATTGTCTTTGAAACTTGCAATGATGGGTCTCAACTGGCCCTAATTTTAAGAATTTAGATGTATCATCAAGTATGTTATACACCTTTAAGACATAATCCGAATAGTCCAGTAAGACAACACCAGCACCTTGATCAGGTTTAGCAATAATCAGGTTATGATTATTCTTTAAACTTTTAATTACCCGGTGGTGTTGTTTGCCCCATTTTGACTCTGATAAAGAAACAAAAGAACCATCAAAAGAATGGGCATAACTGTTATGTTTAGCCTTAAGGTCACCAAGGGACTCAACAGAGCGAGGCGCAAGTCTATGAACCGGTACAAATAAAACTTCAAACTCTGAAAAGATTTGCTCAGGCATCGAAAAAGGAATACAAAAATCCAGACCATGAGCTAAAATACGATTCTCTAACTGGAAAGGCTCATATGAGAAAAAATTAACGATAATTCCCTCTCCAGTGGGTTCATCACTGCATCCAAAACGTTTACGAACTAGAAAAATTAATTTTGTCTGCATAGACGCAGATAATGTTTTAACGCTAATTCGTGTGTATAGCCAACTAACCGGGAAAAGCGAATTTGATCAAAATAGGAAAGTGTTAAGATACACTTTCTCCATTGATTCTTATAGGTACAATTGAGAAGAAGGATTCTTTTACAAAAAATATTTTTATAGAATCCCCCATAAAAATTTTCTCAATTTTTAGACCAGAATGAAGTCCCACATTCCTAATTCTAAACAAGGTATGGGAGAGATATACATGTTTATTTATACACGCTCGAAGAAACTCGCAATGGAATTTTAGCCGTCGTATACGTGCCTTAATTATTAATAATTTATCCAAACTACGGATAAATTTCGGTTTATACCTCCGCTTTAAATATTTGAACAATTTTTTTGTTGTACAAAATTTAATAATAGTAAGGAATAAGTGTAATTTACAAGGCATTTTTAATGTAAATTTTAATAGCTAAAAAACAAGAAGTTCGCCACCGGATCTGTTGACTTTAGTTTCGTTGATAGATACCGGGTCGATCACCCCGAGGGGAATATGTGGTCTTGAGCCCTTAACTGGCCGTCTACCCAGGTGGTTAGCTGCCTGGAGAGAATGTTAGTTAGAGGAGCTGACGTAGACTTGTTAGATTGTCCCACGTCCAACTGGGTAGGCTTTTCGGAACACAAACTCGTTTGTGTCCAGATGGCGTTAGATTGTAGGCCTAGAATGGCTGGCTACTAGGCGTTCAATCTGTCTTTACTGGACAGGCGGGACTTACAGGAACAGCTAACTAGCCTAGTGCAACGGTAGCTAGTGGGGGCGGTTATCGGAAATAGGTGGTCGGAGTGACTTAAGAATAGGATTAGGTCCTTCACCACTGAGTTTAAGAAACTGCTCGCATTAGATAGAGCTAACAAGGCGAAGGCTCTTAAAGATAGTTTTCCCAGTTGTATTTTATGGGGGGCGTAGAGATAGCCTTAGCTAGGGAGGCCCTGGAGCGTTCGAATAGAGAGCGCTACATGAGCCAGGTAATTAGACATAGGTTAAGCAAGATGTCTTCCGACATTATTGCCCATGTCCGTATATATTTTCTTCTTTCCCTCTTCCTTAGCAAGAGAGTTTCTGTCATAGGGCAGTATACAGCGACCTCTCTTTTTTGGGGGTTGGATGGGTACTACTAAAATCAGTTATGTTTATTTTGCTTTGTTTTGATATTTAGTTTGTTTTGGGGTCCATCTCTTTTATTGTCAATCATTTGATTTTTATGTATGGAATTTTATTATCAAAATTTTTTTGTTTTGTAGGTCCTCTGAGAGGATTTGACACTATGGTATATGGGAGATTGATTGATGACGGATGAGTTCTCATGGTGAATGTACGAATTGTAATGAGTGAATTGGTCGTGAATCAGATTAGCTAGATATAGGAGAGTCAGTGAGGACCAGCCTCAACCCATTCTTTCTTTCCGGCCTTGTGCCATAATTGTATTTTTATGCAATCGCGGACCGTTTTTCTATTTTATCAAGGTCCCACTCTTCATATCATCTCAAGGTTCTGGAATCCTTATATATCAGATCACACAAGCCTTCCCTCTGTAAACAGAGGGGTTGTTTCCTGGGTCTGAATATTACTGGTCTCTAGTTTTCCTTTCAATTTCTTTCTCCCCATTTGCCATCCTCAACTTAATTTACACGTTTAGTATTTTAATTC